GGATTTGTTTGTGTGTCCCAGGGCCCCTTCATGGATTCCCGGGGCGCGCTCCCGCGGACACGCGGTCGCGCGGCCACGGCCCGCGCGGGGCAGCTGCGAAAGAACGCCCCGCGTCCGCGGGGTCGCGGCCCGGGGGGCTCGGGCCGCGAGGCCGTGGGTGCGGCCGTGTTCTTCGCCACCGACTCCGCACGGTTTGCTCCTCGATTCTTCGGGGGCGGGCAGAAGCCCCAACAGTGACACGTCGATTAGTGAATTGTCCGTCTTCGGTTCTCGAGAGGGCGCCGCGGCCGTGAGTTTCCAGGCCTGCGCCCGCCAGGTTTGGGCCTCCGGTCGTTTTCACTGAACCACGTTTTACTAAAGGGAGGTCTGTCCATCCCCGAATTCTGGCCTCTTGGGACTGACTTCGCGCCCCCGGGCCATCAAGAATGCGTCTGCACGCGAAATACTCCTTTGGCAAGGGGTCGGGCGCCCTTCGGCCGCGGAGTGGAAAAATCAGGTCCACGGATGTCGCGGTTTGTGGCCTACCAGGGCCTCGCCCCGGCGAAGGGAACTGTCAAGAGTCTGCTCGGGCTGAAGAGCTGGTCCTGGGGGAGAGCCCCGGGTCGGACCAGAGGGGTGGGGCAGGGAGAGGGGAAAGGTACGAAAAGTGCTGCATGCAGTCGGTTTCGGCCCCGCCGCCGGGCGCTGTCCTCCTGGCGCCAGGAGGCGCCGGGAAAGCCAACTGCGTGAGCGGACTCACCAACCTCCCCTTGAATAAAGACCCGTGGTCCGACCCGACATGCACACACCTTGACTCTGCCCTGCCAGCCTGTGCCAATGCTGGTGGTGATGGCAGTGATGGTGATGCAGGCGAGGTTGCTGCTGCTGCCTCTGCTGCTGATGAGGAGGAGCGTGAGGCGTGAGGGCGCGGGGGTGCCGGCCCCCGCGGAGGAGCAGCCCGGGAGGAGCGGGGGGGGAGCATGCGGGTCTAGTTCCAGCCAACCTGGACGAATCCCATAAAGATGTTAGCCAGCGTGGACCCCAAACAGTGAGTGTTTACACTGTGGAGGGAAAGCCATGTCGTGTAAGCTACGCGGTGCGTTGTATGAAGGTGAAAGCAGCGCGGCGCAAGCCATGCGGCGTAAGCTAAGCCGTGTAAGTTGTGCGGTATGATTGGTGATGAGAGCTATGCGGTGTAAGCTGTGTGGTGAAAGCTACGTCGTGCAAGCTACGTGGCGTGAGCAATCAGAGTGCAAACGTTGCGGTGCAAGCTATGTGGTGCATGCTATGCGACGCCAGTTATATGGCGCGAGATATGCGATGCAAGCTATGCGGTGCAAGCTATGTTGTGTGAGCTATGCGGTGTAAGCTACGTTGTGTGAGCCAGGCGGCAGCCACGAGGCGGCCACAGACGGCGACGCGGCGAAGCCTCGATGTGCGGCCGCGGGGCGGCCACGGGCGGCGGCGCGGCGGAACCGGCGGGCGGCCACGGAGCGGCCACGAGCGGCGGCCACGGGGCGACCGCGGGGCGGCCACGGGGTGGCCACGGGCGGCCACGGGGCGGCCAGCAAAAAACAAAACTCAAGCAATTAGCCTGGCAGAGGGCCCAGCCATGTGCAACTGCGAGCACCGTCGCTGTATGCACCGCATTCGGAGGAGCTCCCCGTAGGGCCACGAAGCGTGTGAGGGATGTGCCACAACGGGTGCGGCGGGCGCATGCGAAGGCAGCGATTGGGGCCGTCGGTGGAGGTCCCTGTGGGGCCATTAAATGCGTGAGGGGTGTGCCAACAAAAATGGGTGCGGTGGGCGCATGCGAACGCAGCCACTTTGGCCGTCGGCGGGAGCATGCTAACGCAGCCATTGGGGCCTTCGGTGGAGCTCCGTATGGGGCCACGACGCGTGTGGGGGGTGTGCCAAAAATGGGTGCGGTGGGCGCATGCGAACGAAGCCACTTTGGCCGTCGGTAGAGTTCCCTGTGGGGCAACGAAACGTGTGCGGGGTGTGCCAAAATGGGCGCGGTGGGCGCATGCGAAAGCAGCGACTCGGACCGTCGGTGGAGCTCTCTATGGGGCCGCGAAACATGTGAGGAGTGTGCCAACATGGGCGCGGCGGGCGCATGCGAACGGAGCCACTTTGGCCGTCGGTGAAGCTCCCCATGGGACCACGAAACGTGTGCGGAGTATGCCAAAATAGGCACGGTGGGCGCATGCGAACGCAGCCACGGCCGCCTTCGGTGGAGTTCCCTGGGGGGGAGGGGGGGGCACGAAACGTGCGCGGGGTGTGACAATGGGTGCGGTGGGCGCATGCGAACGCAGGCACCAGGGCCGTCGGTGACTCTCTCTGTGGGGCCACGAAACGAATGAGGGGTGTGCCAAAATGGGTGCGGTGGGCGCATGCGAACGCAGCCACTGACCGTTTGTGGAGCTCCCTATGGTGCCACGAAGCGTGTGAGGGGTGTGCCGAAAGAAGTGAGGTGGTCGCACGCGACAGCAACCACTTGGGCCGTCGGTGGAGCTCCTTCTCGGGTTGCGAAACTTGTGAGGGTGTACCAAAATGGGCGCGGTGGGCGCATGCGAACGCAGCTATTGAGGCCTTCGGTGGAGCTCCCTGCGGGGCCACGAAGCATGTGAGGGGTATGCCACAATGGGTGCGGCGGTCGCATACGAACGCTGGCATTTGGACTGTCGGTGGAGCTCCCTACGGGGGAAGCGTGTGAGGGGTATGTCGAAACAGGTACATGCGGAGGGCAGAGGCAAGGAGGGGGAGGAGGGAGGAGACGTGGGGAGATGTCTTGTCACAACGACGACCCAACTCCACAGGATGGCTGAAAACTAAAATCAAGATCATGAAGCAAGAGTACGCACTAGGGGCACAAATCGACAACATACGTAAATGGCTGACATCAAAGACCAGACGCCAACATCACGGATCAGAAACCTACACCCAAACCATACATCACTACAACACACAACTAACAATCGTCAAGCACGAAGTAAACCGGTTGGCCGACCAACAACGCACGCCGACAACGTACACCAATGCATCCATTATGCACATACAACCGTACCACCGATTGACAACAACAACACAACGACAAAATCAGTATGTTTGAGACTCTTCGCTCTTATGTACTCGCGGGCCACTCAATACGTACATCCCAATCCCTCGATACCCGCCCCCTTCGTCTTCAATTGTACCCCCTTGAGGGTATAGATCTTTCTTATCTGCAACGTGTATTGCGTGCAGCCCCTAAGGCATTGGAAGAGAGGATTGATGGAAGGAAGGGACAAGGAGGAAGGAGGAGGATGGAGCACGAGAGGGGGTAGCAGGAGGGGACCAGGAGCAGAAAACATATGGCAGAATCAGACGGGCAGATCGGGCGGGTAGTTCCAGCGGGTCGGGCAGGCGGGCCCAGGCGGCCAGGTCGAGCAGGCGGGTTGGTGAAGCGTGCGCCCTGCATGAATCGCGAGGCAGTCTCGAGCGATTGCGCGATTCCCGAATAAATCGTCAGGGATCCACAGCGAGAGCGCGATTCCTGAGTGTCGAGGGCGCGGCATTTGCATAAATGGCGAGAAAGTCCCACGCTAGAGCGCGATTCCTGTATAAATTATGAGGAGGACATGCCGCGCGAGAGAGCGATTTGGGAATAGATTGTGAGGAAATATCAGACGGGAGCTGTTGTTGTTGTAAGAGTCCGGGGGCCAACAACGAAGTTTGGTGACCCTTCGCCTTCCCTTGTTAAAAGCCGGGTGCGAGCCCCGGGAGAACCATCTAAATTGAAAAATGCGATGGTTATCAGAGGGGGACCAACCATGTTTTTAAGAAAATAAGAATTCAATCACAACAACAAAACGAAAACAGCAGCAACAAGAACAACAACAACAACAACACAACCACGACAACAACAGCAACATCAACAACAGCAACAATCACAACAACATCAACAGCAACAACAGCAGCAACAATAACAACCACCAACGACAGCGACAACGATAACAACAACAACAACAACAACATTCACCAACGAATAAATGCAAGAGCGGGCACCCACCCTACGTTGACCAAGAATGCACTCATTATAGACGTACAGACCAACACAAGTCATGGTAGTCCGTATATGTCACACTTCCGAATGAAACACCGACACCACACATAGTGCACCACATGCCTGCCACCACAGACATTGCACCACAGAGCTTGCATAACATAGCTTGCACAACATGGTGCACACTACATGTATTGCACCACACTCACTACGTAAGCTTGCATCCCGTAGATTGCATCACCTAGCTAACACCACAAGCGAAGTCTCGTCCGATGACTGAGCGTTGTAGAGGAATTGCCCTCCATCCGTGCAACTGTCCCACATTTTCTCACGCTGGCACCACATGTTGGGCAAGCACCAGGCGAGAACCCCATT